AGCTGCATGTCTGATGCATTGCTCACAGATTATTTTTTAAGTTAACAGATTTCACAATGGTCCAGAGTTCTGATGGCTCTCCGCTTCCTTGTGCCGTTTGATCTCACTGGGAATTTGCAGCCATGTAATGTTAAAGTCAAACAGAAGACATGATTAAGGTCTCCTTCCCCTGCTGAAAACGGCTGCAAGTTCTTTATCTTTCATCTCCATCCACTGTAACAATTTCTCACTGGTCACCGTGGGGGGGTTCTGAATTGATCTGAGAAATAAAAAAGAATATAAAAAAAAGAGAACAAATGAAAATACCAAATATTCAACAGTGTCAAAAAAATAATTGTATCTCCTGCAAACATTTTAGTTTTTCTTACTTATTCGTTCAGCTCTCCGTTCATAATGTCCCACTCTGACTCTGATGCCTTTCTCATAACTGCTAACGGTTTAAGCTAAAGTGTGATTTTCTGCCAGGCACAGTTCTGCACAAGGGCAAAATGAGGTGATCTGTCCCACTACGCTTACATGATACCCTACGCTGCCAGCAGAATGACAGGACAGGCTCTCACTGTAGCCAGCATCTGTCCGTCAGCTTCCCCAGAGCAAGGCGTTTAAAATGGATCTGGGTCACAGTGGGATCCCTCTGTCCACCGGCTGGAACCTGGAAGCCTGCACTTCATTTGTGACATTGCCTCAGACGGTTCACGCGACACACTTTACTATCAGCAAGGGCTGCTGCATTATGCATTAATACTTAGTAGGTAACAGCTGTTGTAAATCTTTTCTATGACAGCTAGAGCCTTTGTAATTTTAATATCCAAAAATGGGGGAAAAAAAGAAGAAAAACCACAAGAAGTCCGGTTTTTCAGAGTGAGATTTTACCTTCAAATGAAGCTCATAAGAAGAGAGGAATCTGAGTAATAGAAAAAGAAGTGTTGGTACTTTGTGTTGTGCTGAGATGCTGGGAGGACGATCTCTGCCCAAATCTCAAGTCCCCTGAATCATCTGCCAGATTTTCCTTCTTGCATTTAGTTCCATCTGTCATATAAAGTTCTGTAACAAACCTCTAAGTCCTTCATAGAACAGCTGAGATTGAATTATATCCAAGAGGAAACTCTTTACTAACAAGAAGAAGGCACTTAAAGCTTATTTAGGTGGATCAAAACAAAAGGAAACTGGATTTAAGAGCTACTAACTCTTTAGATCTATATTCACAATTAAATGCTAAATCTACATAGATTTTCCTCCTGCTTAACAATTATATGCAACTTAACTATGGTCTGTAACATGAACTGTCAATAAAATACATACAATTCAAAGGTTACATTTCACAAAATGTGTGACAGTTTGATGGGTTTTTATTGTGTGAAGGTAGACGCTAACTTTTGGTCTGTGTGACTTAATGTTACAGTTAAAGTTAAAACATAAAAAGGGATCTGGAAAAATATTGTAAGGTAAAGCGAGTACGTAGAACATTTTTAGTCAAAGTATTGTAGTGATAAAGAGGTAACACAATTAGTTAAAGATAATAAACATGGAAAATCAAAATATGACAATTATATTAAAAAATAGACTGATAAATTGGTGAAATTAAATTTAGACCTAAAACTTTACCAAACATTTTGAGATAACACTGCCAAATGCAAATCCAAAATATGTTCTCACAAAGGATTTTGGTGCTTTTACATTTTTGAGGGAATTTATAATTAAAACGTGCTATTCTTTAGTTCTGCTTCTGTAGAGTAGATTAGAGCCAGAAGACCTGAACGGACTGCATGGTTGATCCACTGAAACAAGTCTGTAAAGTATTTTGGATCCAAGCCATTCAATGATTTATAGACTAACAGAAATATTTAGTCTTTCCTCTGAAATAAGGGGAGCCAGTGGAAGGACTTGTGCTCCACTTTCTTGGTTTTAGTGAGGATTTATGCAGCAGCATTCTGCAACAGTCCTGTCTTTATGAGCCTCTGAAGGGTTCAGGTCTGAGACCATCACTAGACCCAGATTTAGAGCCTGATTGCTGGTTTCTACTGTTGCTGGATTAACTGAATAATAATAACAATTGAACATCATTGATCTCACAATGGAGAAATTCAGTTCTGCATCTAAACCCATCCCTTTGGGGAGCGGTGGGCTGCCCCTGTGCGGAGCCTGCAGAGCAATCAGGGGATTTAGGGTCTTGCTCAGGGGGCCAGAGTCGAGGCTGTAAGGATTGAATCGGATACCTTCTCAGAGCACAAGCACACTGCTCTAACCACTAGGCCAATACTCCCTCTGTACAAAGCTTTATGTTAATGTTTGAAAAGTCTCCTCTTGGTCCAAAACATGTTACTTAAGTCGTGTTTGGATTCCACTAAAGCCTGGCATACGCAGCGATTTTTAGACATTTTTGGCATGATTTTTGTACGCATCCATACAACCTTTTTGTCCTTTTCTTTTACTAGCTAATTCTATTTATTATGCTGCATGTTGGGATTGTTCAAGACCCCAACCTGTCTTTGAGTATGTACAAAGTGAGCAGCCAGATTGCATCCAAACATCAGTTCGTACTCTGTGAGAACATACAACGCAAGCTATGAACTTTTAAACTCTCAGATTGGTTACCACAATTTGAGGCGGGGCTGTGAGCAAGACTGGAATTATTGCACAGTGTAGCCCAGGCTTTAAGGAAACTTTTGGCACATTCATTCATTGATTTTTTTTATGCATTTAGTAATTGACTCAGTGAGTTTATAGCCACCTGGTGATGTCATAATGTTTACCTGGTTGTCTTCTGCATAGTTGTGGTAACTGACGCAGTGATTTAATAAAAGTAGGGGGGAGGATTTTCACGAATTTTTGTAAAGACCCGCCCTCTGCACTTTAAAAAAAATACACATGCACAACCCTGCACCCGCCTCCAAGAGGGAACACCCAATGTGTGCACGAGAATGCAAAAGCCCATTTCTACTTGTGCACGCTCTGTTTAAAGGTTGCTGTTTGCATCGCTCATACAAGCTTACTTTCCAAATGAAGATTTGCAATTTTTCCACTTTCAGACTCACCACCGGTGAGTGAAAATGGGTACGAGCACGTAGGATGGCCTTACGTAAACATATCACCAGAATGATTGACATTTACGAGGACTATTTAATTTGATGATCCAGCCAGAAAAAGAACATCCTCCACTATAACTTTAAGAACTAAATAAGGACGAGCATCTAGATCTTGAGAAAGTGAGAATCATTGTGTGATTGTGACGCTGCGGGGGGAATTTAAATCTTGATGACATGCTTGTGTGTCAGTTCAACATTTACCAGCATATAACACCTTTCCATTTGTTGCCTCTCAGAGGATGTAAGTGTGCATCAGATTGGCCTCGTTTCATTTTTCATCTCCATCACGTCCTCCAGGTCTGGGATTCTATCATCCCTGTCTACTTAAGGTGAAAATATCACACATCCAAGCACACTACTCAGATATCAGCCTCTTCAACTGTCCAAACTAGAACCCAGGAAAAACTGTCAGAAATGAAAGCATTTGGTACTTTGGCTCCATCTGACTGATTTACACACATGGTTCCTTCTGTGACTGATTACTTTGCAGTCATCTTCTGTTGAACTCTGGGATTAGAATATTTCTCACAATTCATTGCGCATACATTTTATTTATTTTATGCTGTGTTGAGCATCACAAAAAACCAAACACTGTGTGAAAAAGTTGCTTAAATCGGGTAGAAAAATACAAACAGAAGTTTTCCCAAACAGAAGTGCTGCGTTTGTCACTGTGGTTAATCCTAAACAGCTGAATGTATCTCGGGTTTCATTACTTTTTGTGCTGTTGCAATACAAAAGCTCTAATTGGTACCAAGATCCAATATTTGTAATTAGAGGGCAGCGTTCATGTGCAGGGAGAACAAACCGAAACTGTTTGTTTGTTCATCCAATGTGGCTCCTTAAAATTTGTTAATCATGGAAGCATTCACATTTTAGCACCGTATTTACATCTGGATCTGAGCCACACACAACATTTGTGGGAAATGTCACAAGCACCCAGAGGAAAATAAGCCTGGTGACACACAAACACTGATCTTTAACTAAAGCAGAACTCGGCCCCTTGTCATCATTTCAAAGCTTTTTAAACAGCTCACCCAAAGCTCTCCAGGGCATTTAGAGCGCACTTTCTTTTATGTTTCTGCTTTCACCGGGTGAGAAATGAACATTGTTGAATACAACAACTCTCACATGCTTTGTATTGTGCTTAGCAAAAGCAGCCTTAGTATTTACACTGGAGAGTATGTTAATCCCTGTGCAGGTCAGACGTGTTGGTCTTCAGCCAATAAGAATGAATACACCAATATGACAGCAAAAGCAAATGACTCTGAGCTACAATGGATCACAGTCAGCTAAAGCTGTGCATGTGTTCCTGTTAAACAGGCAATGATCAATCATTTCCCTATAGCAGCTTTTTAAGGAACAACAGTTTATTGCATGAAAAGAAAACAAAGATTTCAATTAGAAATGGACTGAAATATAAAACTGAGGGTTGTTTGTTTTTTTATTTATGTAGTAGAGCAGAGATTTTTCTCAGTTACTTTCATGTGTGTACATGCAGTAAAGCTGAGCCTTGGTGTCTTGCCTCAAATGTGCTGTTTTCTTATGCATCTATGGAAGGTTGACAGGTTTAAAAAGTCTGTCAATTTTAGTAATTAAATTCACAAAAGAAGCTTCTTTTGTGGTCCATATAAATGATACTGGATTATAGCTAATGGAAACCACAAATCTAATTTCTCAGAACATTTAAGTATTTTTTGTCATGAAAATTCTATTTCTATGTATTAACTAAGTTATAATGCTATTCCTTCATCAAAATAATATAAAAATGTGTATTTTCTTTGATTCATTTTCATACTCTGGGAGAGATTTATATTACTGTGAATAAATGTAGAGTGGGAAAAGGGAGCAGCACCAGATTTTCTGCCCGTCTGCCATGTTTGATTGAGTTTGTTTTCTCTTTTCTTCTAATAATAGGAAACCACCACCATGACTACCAACACAGCCACCTGGATCTGACGGCACTCACACCGAAACTGGGTGAGTAAACACAGTGTTGTGACCCTGCACAAGTGATACTGAATCCACTATGCTGCAAAAATCTGCTTTTTTAGAACTGGTTGTCTTGATTTACCCAAAGTTGTTTTCCCAGAGGTCCAAATGGTGGCCTTATCAATGCGTTTCATGTGTTTTCTTTTCCTCACCAAGAGACAACTCCCAAAATTGTTCAGCTTAAAACCCAATTACTGCTTCAAATGTATTTCTCCAAATGTCATTTCATGTGAAAGTTGATCTTGCAACATGAAACTAAACTGACTTCTCCTGCATCCCAGTGACCAAAAAAATAAAAAATAAAAAAATGAAATGCCATAAATGTGTTTTAAGAGGGAATTCTTGAATAATTTTTTCCCGCTATGTTTTGGAGGTTAAAGCTAAGAGATCGTCATTGAATCCATGAACAAATGGAGCACAGCAGTGCACATCCTGCATGTGCTTGTCTGCCACTTAAACACAACGGGAAAATGGGTTTCAAAAGTACTTTGAAACTCTTCAAACAGCACTTTAGAAGTCTGTTTAGCTTCTAACGAGGCACATGGCCTCGATGCATAATTCAGATTTTGCTCTTTTTGCCCTTGTGTTAACCCTTAGCACCAGTCTTGCTTTTTTCCAAGGGTAACCTCTTGTTTGGAAGCATATGTTGAAGCATTTATTGTTAATGGTCCTCTCTTTCTCACTTGGCCTTGTTAGCCCACAGACACATGGGATACGGTAAGTGATACACATAGTGTTTATGTGTATTTTTTTTTTTATCACTTTTTGTTTCAACATGTGTCATAAGCAGTACAGATTTGAATTAGTTTCCTGCACATTGGGAATCATTTTGTTCTCATTTCAATTTTTTGAGTGCTTGTTTATTCTTTGCAGTCACAAAATGTCAAGTTGCTGCATTTCAATACATGACCTTTAGTCCAATCACAAAATCTGTTCATTTTCCCTGTTTCACTCCTCCCTGCTGGCTCTATCTTCCCTACAACCCCCACACACGATTTCCTCCTCTGAGTGTCTCCCCTCTGCACCATATGTTCTTTAATGCGGTGCATCTCTGCCGTGTTTGCTGCAGTGGCGGCCCAGCCCTATTTATAAAATCGGTTCCCTGTCCTTCCCACCCACTGCGCCTCCTGACCCATGACTAGTCGTCCCAAATACTAAAGCTGCAGGAGCTCTGCGCAGCACACAGAGCTATAATGGTGTCATGAAAAGATTTTCTGAACTGAACCACTCAAGGTGTTCACTAATCTGTTGCTTGAGCTGTTTCGAGTAGTTTGGTTATGTAGCTTCATCCATCAGTTTTAGCAAAGTTATAACTGATTTAAAAGAGAGTTCAGCTGCTTTATAAACTGAAAATGTTTAATTTTTCTAACAACAATAAATTGCAAATTTCTGAAATACAACCAACCACAAAAAAGGCTTTAATAGGGCACAACTGGATTGTCGCTCAGTTTTTCTGAAAATTTGACACCTATCCAGGAGTCTTTTTGAACTCTGGTGGCTTATACTAGCGTAAAATAGATTATTTGAAGGAAGCCATCTTGTTTCAAATTGCCAGACACATACTTATTACTCAGCTAAAAACTCCGACAACCCAGGAGAACAGCGGTTGGGTCTTTTATATACATCTGACTTGGAATGTGCTCACTGTAGGAAGATTGGCTTCTACGATGATAAAAAAACATTGACGCTTCAATTAAAGATAGCTTTAGAACGAGCCGACAGAATTTATGTGTCCAAACGTCCTCAGAAAAATGTGGTAAAAGTCTGGTTGCCTTAAGCCTGTTTTATGGTTAACATGAAGCGGATGACTAAAAATTTACACAAGCATAAAAAAAAAATCTAAAAGTAGATTAATCAGGTCGCATTGTCAAAGCCTTTTCATTGGCACGTGGTTCTTTCAGTCTAAAAATATTGATCATTCATGTAAGAAAGAAATCCTTTTTTATTCTTATCCTTATCTAATTTTATTCTCATATCTTATTTGTACTTACAATCTTATTTTTCTCTCTTGTGTAAACAGTTAGACTGCAAAAAAAAAGAATTTCCTGCAGGGGTTTAAAAAAGTACTTCTGATTCTGATTATCATTGACCTTTTAAGTTCCAACAAAATTAACATGTTTTAAAAGATATCCTCAATGAGAATGTATTGGAATCTTCTCTAAATGTTTTTAGTTGCAGTTGCTCTGAAAAAGGATATGGGACATAGGAAAAAAAAGAATAATATAAGAAACATTACCACCTATAATTTGAAATTCATTCTGCAAGAGTCACCAAAACAGTTAAAGCACAATTACTTAAAAGCAGACTAGGTGTACTCAGATAAACCAGCAATTCAAGTTTCCCATGTTGTCTCCTCCATGGTCTTACGCCGTTACAAAAACCCTTACAAAACTCAAATTTTCTTCAACTGAACACATTGTTTTATATTTATTAGGATGCAAGGTTTGACTCACTGAGGCACATTCCACAAAGCAGGTTTCCTGAGCTAAGTTTTCTAACCCTGCAATCAGGGAAAATATGAGTTTTCCATTTCACAAAGAGAGTTTACTCAACATCTGTGTCTGTTACCATAGTAACATTCTCCTAAGATCTAACCTGGTCAGGAGCAGGTTTTCTTCAATAAACTCAGTGTCCTCTCTCCACCAATCACATTGTCAAATTAAAGCCAATCACATTTTTTCCCAATTGAGTCAAGAGAGTTTTCTAGACGTTTGTGTGTACAATAAAAAGAGAATCAGTCTCTTGGTCCATTTGACATCTTAGGTGTTAAAAAAACAAGCATAGGATGTCCTTTGTACGGGGGATTCAATGAAAGGATGAGCAGCATTAATTCACAGAGAATTAAATGTTTATAGGGAGAGGTTTTTTAGACCACATTTAGATTTCCTTTCAAATAAAAAAGTTATCTAGAGCACTAGATCTATGAGCGCTACTGTTTCAGCTCACGATCCATCACATACACAACCTTACCCGTCCTCAGATCTTTAGCATTACATAGACTTTTTCATAAAATATTTACCAGAACTTGATATAGATAAGAACACATTTATTTGTTTTCTAACAGCATTATAGGAAAAAACTGAACAGTCAAACCGCCACTCAGTATTTACTGTGTAATGGAAGACAGAATCAAAATGAGGAGGAACCCCATGAGATGATGCACAGGCCCTACCTGTTTGGACAACATTTTTAGATTCTATCTTCACCTGCTGCCATGTGATTTCAACTTAATAGAATACATCGATGCCCCACAATTTAAGCAGTAAACTAGTTTCCCCCAGTGTATATCATGATTACGACAGGATATGGCAGGCCATTATGATATTTATTAGTTTTTCAGAATATATAATTTTGATATCTGAAATACATTCCCAGTAAAAATAAACAAATTCAAACAAAATTACATTCTTCTTATCTAAAATAAACATTCTTGATGTCTAGAAATGAATTTCAGATTTTTCATATTCCTATTATTACTGGTCAGCATTTTCATTATTTTGACTACGAAGAAATGTATTTCAGATATTATAAATATGTATTTAGTCAAGCTGATGAATGTCAAAAAACTTAACTCATCACTAAAAATATATAAACATTTCTAGGTATATAAAACTTAATTGTTACTAGTATAATTTTGTTTCATTTTTTACTTTTTAAAATTCGGTTTCTGCTGCAAAATTTCATTTACAAAAACTAAAGTTCCGATGATGAATGTCATTTTGACCAGTTGAAATTCTATTTTAGTGATCTACAACTGGAACAAAAGAGAGGAGAGTGCTTTTCATAAATGTCAAAATGGCCTGCCATAATTAACACATTCTAATTTTTTTCCTTTCTGCATTAAAATCTCAGTTTCCAGTGGTGTGAAATTGTCCCTTCCTGTTGCCTGTCATCATGGTGACTGGTTCTCCACTGATAATGGTTTTTCATACTGGTTTTGCCCATGTTCAACTCTAAATTAACGTATTCAGTTGATTAAACTAACTCATTGCAGCCATTGCGAAACCGAAAACTCAGAGTTTCCAACCTTATGCTAGATCAATCCAGAGTTGAGCATTTGGTTTTGACTTTGTTAAACCTGTTTGTGAAATGGACCTCAGGTGATGGAAAAATATATATTAAGCTTTTAGATTTGGGGTCAAAATGTTTGAAACAGTTTACACTCTTGTTCCATCTGAAGAAATCGAACCCCAGACCATGATTCTGCCACCACCATGTTTCATTGTTGGTATGTTTTGATTAATTGTTAGTATGTATTGTGTTGTGGATTGCTGTCTTTTCAACAAACATCCCTGTTTTTACCTCAAATTTTCAGAGTGGTTTCATCAATCATAAAGTATACACCTAAATTAAGCCAATGTGTTACCTGGAAAGCTGAACTTTATTAAAGGTTTATCAGAGTCATTATTATTAATGGTAGATATGGATTCAAGAAGACAGAGAAGTATAGAAGTATTTAAGGATCTTCACACTTATAGTGAGGCCAAAAAGGATTTAGTCAGCCACTGATTGTGCAAGTTCTCCTACTTTGAATAATTAGAGAGGGCTGTAATTTTCATCATACTGTAGGTATATTACAACTATGAGAGACAAAATGAGGACAAGAAAATCCAGGAAATCACATTGTATGATTTTTAGAGAATTGACAAATTTTGTCTCTCATAGTTGAAGAGTACCTATAATGAAAATTACAGCCCTCTCTAATTATTCAAAGTAGGAGAACTTGCACAATCAGTGGCTGACTAAATACTTTTTGGAACCACTGTATGTCCAGTTGGCCAATGGAAATAAAGAAAACAATCTTGCTGGAAACAAATACATTTCTGACTAATTTTGTATATTTGCAAGAAGAACATACTATGTTCTCTGATGAAAAAAAGTTGTAAATTTGCTCAAATACTATAATTTTCCATAATAAAATACATACATATATGCATGCAAAAGAGTATTTATACTCTTTTAAAAAAAACAAGATAAGGTCTGACATTTTATGGTGATACATTTGCATAAACAAAACATTTCCAAGTAAAGCATGGAGTAGGCACCCATGATGTTTTGTCTTGATACAGAAAAATAGCCCAGAGGAAAATGTTTAGACGCTTATCTGCCCACTTTACTCAGCCTTAGACCCTTTTTTTTTGTTGTGTTTTTGTAAAAAATATCTGACTTTATAATCTTAGAAAACTAGAGAGGGTTTTTTTCATGCATTTTTCAAATGTTACAATGTTTGGAATATCTTGGTTTAAATAACCTCATTGTATATCTTTAATCATGTAATAAGATTTCCGTCTGTTGTTTTTTTGCACATTTATGACTTTTAATATTAGAGATTCTCAATATTTTTTCTTCCAGTTATGTGAAATAAATGTAGACATTTTTGAGTGTTGGGGCAGAAAAGTTTTTCCTTTGGACACTTTTTGCTGTTCTGTTTAGAATAGCCCAAATGCTTTGTCATGGCTGTTCAACAAGCCTTTTGCATAAATTATGTATTGTTTTACCCCCTTAAAATATTTTTTCTTTGTTTTAGTTATTTTAACTTGAAGTTTGTCACAAAGAAGAAAAGGCAAAAGTTTAGTGGGCATATAAAACTAGACATTGGTCAGATTTTATACCAAAACAAGGTGTCTTCAAAGCTCAGAGCGTTACCAGACTAAATTTTCTACAGTGTATATGTTCTCAGTTCTTTGTAAACCATTTTAGTAGCAGACTAACCAGCTTCTTTTTTAAAAATAACCCTATTATCTCAATGTTGTTTGTTGTTTTTTTTTTTTATTTCATTTTATTTGTAGTTTTTGGTATTTTAGGAATGCTGTACATAGAAGCTAGTCGCTACATGTGCCAGAGCAGATTTGCTGAGCAAAATTTGTCAAGACAACATTAGCTTCAAAATACACTATATTGCCAAAAGTATTTGCTCACCCATCCAAATTATTGGAATCAGGTGTTCCAATCACTTCCATGGCCACAGGTGTATAAATTCAAGCACCTAGGCATGCAGACTGTTTTTACAAACATTTGTGAAAGAATGGGTCGCTCTCAGGAGCTCAGTGAATTCCAGCGTGGAACTGTGATAGGATGCCACCTGTGCAACAAATCCAGTCGTGAAATTTCCTCGCTCCTAAATATTCCACAGTCAACTGTCAGCTGTATTATAAGAAAATGGAAGTGTTTGGGAACGACAGCAACTCAGCCACGAAGTGGTAGGCCACGTAAACTGACGGAGCGGGGTCAGCGGATGCTGACGCGCATAGTGCGAAGAGGTCGCCAACTTTCTGCAGAGTCAATCACTACAGACCTCCAAACTTCATGTGGCCTTCAGATTAGCTCAAGAACAGTGCGCAGAGAGCTTCATGGAATGGGTTTCCATGGTCGAGCAGCTGCATCCAAGCCATACATCACCAAGTGCAATGCAAAGCGTCGGATGCGGTGGTGTAAAGCACGCCGCCACTGGACTCTAGAGCAGTGGAGACGCGTTCTCTGGAGTGACGAATCGCGCTTCTCCATCTGGCAATCTGATGGACGGGTCTGGGTTTGGCGGTTGCCAGGAGAACGGTACTTGTCTGACTGCATTGTGCCAAGTGTAAAGTTTGTTGGAGGGGGGATTATGGTGTGGGGTTGTTTTTCAGGAGCTGGGCTTGGCCCCTTAGTTCCAGTGAAAGGAACTCTGAATGCTTCAGCATACCAAGACATTTTGGACAATTCCATGCTCCCAACTTTGTGGGAACAGTTTGGAGCTGGCCCCTTCCTCTTCCAACATGACTGTGCACCAGTGCACAAAGCAAGGTCCATAAAGACATGGATGACAGAGTCTGGTGTGGATGAACTTGACTGGCCTGCACAGAGTCCTGACCTCAACCCGATAGAACACCTTTGGGATGAATTAGAGCGGAGACTGAGAGCCAGGCCTTCTCGTCCAACATCAGTGTGCGACCTCACAAATGCGCTTCTGGAAGAATGGTCAAAAATTCCCATAAACACACTCCTAAACCTTGTGGACAGCCTTCCCAGAAGAGTTGAAGCTGTTCTAGCTGCAAAGGGTGGACCGACGTCATATTGAACCCTATGGATTAGGAACGGGATGTCACTTAAGCTCATATGTGAGTCAAGGCAGGTGAGCAAATACTTTTGGCAATATAGTGTAGGTAGACTACATCAGTGTAACCTCAAATACCTCATTATAGGTTTCATGTCCCTTGACAGGATTTTTCTAACAGAGGAAAAATAGATTTGTTGAACAGAATGTTTTTTTTTTTATATATAATTTCAAACAAAAGCAAATCTTAAACTGTAACATAATAGAAATAAACACAAATATACCTTCCGTGTATCAGGCGAGGCTGATAAGAGTCTTCCAGATTGTTTATTTTTAAGTGAAGCTTTATGACTTTGTGAGTACTTCTCTTATCCACTCTCTTTTTAAAATAAAACTCCACAGACTGTCAGATGTAGTTTAGGTATTTTCTGTTGCCTCTCTTCTGTCGATCTGAACTCACTGCCCTCACAAAAATGAAACCTCTCATTATGTTTTTGCTTTGTCAAATTCTTAAGTTCAAAATAATAACAATAGATCATAATTGAAGTATTCTTAAAGAAAATGAGCTAGTTTTATGGAAGAATGGACTGCAGGGCATGATGCTGCCAACACCATGTCTTATTGTGGGCAGGTTGTTCTTTTAAGGAGGCTCATCTGTGAAATTTGCTACAGCTTTTTTGGTTTTACCTGCAACCTTTTCATTTTTTGGTTCTGTAAAAAAATAATAGTCACTTTTAAGGTGAAAAAAAAACCCTGTTTAGCAATTTATTGTGGTGTCTTTGTCAACTAATATGCTGCACTTAAACTAATTTCCATTTTAAAAAAGTAGATGTATTCAACTTGAATCATAATATTCATTCCCTAATACTGGATGATTTAAAAAAAGATTATTTGGGTTTAGAAATGTTAATCTTAAACCTCCTTTAGGAGAATATGATATGGTGTTTAGATTACTGTTTTACTTTTTGAGAAATTAGTTTTAAATCACTAAAAACAGGATGGTGCTTGTGTAATTCCTGATCCCTTCCTGTTCTTACACAGCCTGGGTTCCTGCAGTCTTGTTTGGAGTTTGGATTTTGAGTAAACGCCTCCTGGGTGTTGTTGTGATCAATTCAATCACAGAAGGAACCTTAATGGGTCAAACAAAAACAGGACGCCAATATTCACCTGACAGCAACTCAGTCAGCCCCAGGAAAAGACATAAAGAGGTTCTTGACTGGTCTAAATTTTGACAGATGTACGTATTTTATCTGATCGCTCTAAACAGATTATTATTTGTGGCAAACCCCCAAGCAAGTCACAGCGATACCGATCCATACTACAGCAGAAATAAATGTCTACTTCTGCAGTTACTACAGGTTTAAATGGAGCTGAGCACAGCTAACATAAAAAATAGTCTAATGTACAATTGTTTGATTCCATTCAACACATGGATTATACTTTAGATCCATTTTAAACTTAATTAACAAACTGATATTTAAAATGCCAGCTTCAGAACAAGCCAGTCATTTTAGAGCAAGGCCTGTATTAAATAAACTTTTCTTTTTCTAAACCAGGTTCTTGCACAATAAATTTTTTCTGTTAAAACATGGAGCTCGGTCCCAAATGTCACCTGATTAACCTGCATTACGGGACAATTCCTGCTGCATCCCTCTCCCTCCCAATCTCTCAACTAAATACTCTTTTTTTATATATTTCTCATCCTCTTTGACTGAATGCAGTGCACCACTTCTTCCCTTGTTCCCTGCAGATAGGCCCCAGAGGATGAACAACATCCTGACGTCAGCAACCGAACCCTATGACCTGTCCCTCTCCAGATCCTTCCAGAATCTGAGCCACCACCAGCCGTCGTATGAGATGCCCCACAAGCCTGACTTAAGTAAATACTCTCCTCCCAGACTAAGTAGGTGCTCCTTCATTTGTCTTCCATCGCCGTCTGAAACGAGCATCGCCGAATGACCTCAGCCTCATGCAGGGTTTCCACGCTCACTGCATGCAACTTGATGAAACATATCCATCCGAAAAACCCGACTTATGATAACAGGTGCATCCACGCAAGTTAGAATGCGATGACAAAATAAAAGTGTTTGTCATCTCACAAACATGCAGTAAATGTTCAGATCAATGTATAAGTTAAGCATACAGTAAATTAAATGTGACCCGATTAGATACAAAAGACACTTCATATCTATAACTGCATTTATTTATTGAGAAATTTATAAAAACTAATCTGCCTATGTGATTTCTTTTACATTAGGACATGAGGGTCAGCAGAGCTGTGTTGGTTTAGAGAGCATTTGTCCTTAATAATTGAGAAAGAAATTGTATAGATAAATTATAACTAAGGTTATCTCTGTCTGATATTATCTATTACTGTCTAACAGTACCGTCAGGTCTTTAGCATCTCCACTGCAGCCTGAAACAGAGAGGAGGCATTAAAATCTCCCAGCTAAACTCCTCTGTGAGAAATCCCTTTGCAGCATTTTAAATTTACATGAGTTACGACAAAGTCTTCAGTGAAAATAAATAATTGTGTGTTTTCATCCATATTAGAGGTCCTCCAAACTTTTTCGCTTCTGACCGACAAAATGGTTCCAGACTCGACTCTTGACCCAAACCGTTGGTTGAGTATACCCACCTTAAACAGCTTATTAGAATAGAATAGAATAGAATAGAATAGAATAGAATAGAAAATCCCTTTGTTTTCCCAAATCTAGTGTTTACAGCAGCAAACAAATTATAAAAAAGAAAAGTGCTACACTTATGTTGACATTAGAAAAATGTTAAAGAATAACATAATAGTGAAGAGTTAAAGATGAACAATAAAATACTTTACTGCAAAGTGTTTAAACAATATAAAACTGTGCACCTGGAATCAAACATTTATTAATGTTTGATTCATTTATAAAGTGTAAATAGATCATTTATGAAGGTTTTAAGATGACTGATGTTACGATAACGAAAGTCCGACACAAGAGGACAAGTTAATTAAAAATAAAGGCTAATGTTTAGATCTTAAGTCTGCTGATGTTAGGGATGAACTAACACGGCAGGGCAATCTGATCTATTTACCTTTTAGAAATGGTTTAAATGCAGTTTATGAATGATTATCAGATGATGATAAATTGTCTTTTTGCCTTTTATAAATAATGTTCATGATGGTTTTTGTAAAGTGTTACCCCAACAATCAATTAAACTCAGATTTAATAATTTACAAACAGCATAAAAAAACAAAGCAGTCAGGTTTGTTTCCAATTTTAAGTGAGTTCTTATATATTTAATCACTTCATCATTAATCTTTTTTTTTTTTTTTTGTAGTAGATATAACCCCATGCTTGTTGATCAATAACTCATGACCCATAATTATGACTAACAACTAATAGAAAAATTTAATTTGTTCTTTCTAACAAAATGAACATGTCATAGACATGTCAGGTTAAAAACAAAAATGTCATCCGATTCTTCCAGCAGATCTGTCTGCTAAATATCCCAGTTGTTTGGACTCCAAGCAGCATCTAAGCAATAGTGTGGATTATAGCTGCCATGTTATCTGCTGTTCAAAAAGCAACCAGGCCCACAGTCTGATCGCCTCCGAACAACAATAGGCCCCATCTCATTACTACCAGTTAATAAACAAATTGTTTAGCAGGACCACCTTTCTTGATCAGAATCCTTCTTTTATTTTATTTAAGTTGTAATATTCATCTTTGTTGTTTTGTCAGGGAATAAACTGTTTTCATCATCGTTGCAAGAAACAATTAACTGAAATAAATGACTGTGTATTAAATCACCATCAGATATGACATTCACTTTTTAATTTATATCGCTGAAGCAGATTAACTTTTGGATGACATTCTAATTTGCTGAGATGCTCCTGTATTTGCATGTCTGGTGTCAGATCATGCAAATAGACCTCTCACCTTTTCACATTTTTGGAGGAATTATCCTTTGAAATCCTGACTAAATGTTTGACTCCTCTATGCTTGTTCCCATTGACTCATCTGCACCCTAACATATAATTGCCTTGTCATTTTATTCCCATCTGCAGTCAATGTCATGTTGCTAATGTCTGTTAATGACATATTAGCAGCTTTTTTTCCAGTAGAATATGCTTAATATGCCAAGATGATGATGCCTTAATGTCATAGCAGTACAGCCGTGCATTATTCTCAGTGTGAGATCAGCAGTTTTATTATGATGTGGGCTTCATTTCTTTCTTACATAGATTTCGTTTTATTGTAGCAGCAAGTCCATTGAGGTACATTACCTATATGCCTGAGTAGATATGATTGCAGAAAGTGGCAACAATGGTTCCCTTATTAATTAACAGAACTTATAAATACTAATGAGGCCTTATGAAAGACATTATTTAACACATTTTATATTTCCTAAACCAGATGTTAATTTATGTGTTTCAAAACGTTGTACAAGTGCAGACTTTCTGTTCTAAATGGTGATATTTCCAATCCCCTGAATTTAATAGAATATGTGGCTTGTTTATTGTTTTCAGTCTTGCAGTTGTCTAAAACAGTAGAAATTCATCACAACAAAGGGTAAAATTAACATCCATCCGTTTTCTGTCATGCTTATCCCAAGTGGGGTCACAAGGGGTGCTGATGCCAATCTCCAGCTGCTTACGGGCAAGAGGCAGGGTACACCCGGGACAGGTTGCCGGTCCATCGCAGGGAAACACAGAGACAAACGAACCATTTACACACACACACACACCTAAGGAGAGTTTTTTAAGGACTGTGGGAGGAAGCCGGAGTACCCGGAGAGAACACATGCATGCTCAGGGAGAACATGCAAACTCAATGCAGAAAGACCCCAGACCAGGAATCGGACCCAGAACCTTCTTGCTGCAAGGCAGCAGCGCTATACACTTCTCCACTTAGCAGCTCATAAAAAATAAGAAAGGGTTGAAATTATTTGCACAGTGAATTATTTATAAAACAAGATTTTAAGCTTCTTCTCTTTTTTAGGACCTTTATACCTGCACTTCAGTTAACTGTAATTTAAGCTAAACGGTAAATGGCCTGTGCTTATATAATCAGAGGACTTGACCAAAGCGCTTTACACTGCATTCAGTCATTCATCCATTCATGCACACAAACTCACACACTGATGGTAGCAAACTACATTGTAGCCACAGCTGCCCTGGGGCTCACTGACAGAGGTGAGGCTGCTGTACACTGACGCCACTCGAACCTCTGACCACCATCAGTCTAACAACTAGCTATAAACTAGCTTAAAACAATAAAGTGAAACCAAACAAATTATGACCTCTAGATTTAAGAAGAAAATTGGATTATTAAAATTTGATTAAAAATAAATGTATGAAAAACTTCCTCCTACTTCTCTACTCAGCCAACAAGCACTGCTCTAAAGCATGAATTCAGAAATCTTGCAGGACTTAAAAACACCGTTAGTTTGCAAGCTGTTTGGGACATGAATGAAGAAGGGAAAGGGATGAGTAGAGGTTTTTATTTAAAGGAAACTAGGGAAGCTTACGAGAAATGTGGAGCACAAAAAGCAAACGGGCGAAGGCAATAGCAGAATCCAGAAGAGGGTGCATAAAAAGCTGAGAGACTGTTAAACCAATCGGTCTATTTAGCAGGTTATATGTCAGGAGTAAATGGGAACATATAGAGAAAAAAAGGCAGTAAAGAGAAAGCATTCAGAAATAAAGACTTTAACTTTAAACAAAAACATGAGTATAAGTCAAAAGCATAATGCTCTTGTCAGAATAAGACTGACAGTTTCTTCAACAGTCAATGGAGCATCACAAACATCTGAATTAAGCCTTTTCAAATAGAGCATCCTGTTCTTTCAGATGGATTTGAGTCATGCAGATAAGGATTCCAAAGGATGCGCACATTGTTCATGGTGAAGGAAGAAGCTTTGGTACAAAACCTTGAGCTGAACAAATAAACCCCAAAATATTTATGCAATATACTAAAGAATAAAAAGATACATTAATATAAATAAGGGGCATATATAAAATCTTCTGGTATTTTTTAGTCTGCTAAAAGAAAAACAACTTTCTTTACGATCTCTAGTCTCATTCCTCCCTCATACAGCTTTGATTGTCCTTCATATAGAGAACATCCATCCTATGGACTAACACACGCTTACGGTAACTTGTAAAATAAACTAACCTGCAAGAATAAGGTTTTTAGTTCTGGAGATAGTCGCTATAGCAGCAGACGTGGTCAGACATCCGGTGACGCATAAAAACGACTCATTTCAGTTTCCTTTTGACAAAAATTCAGTTTCTCGACTTTCTGCTCCTTTGGAGCAGCTTAATTGCAAGGACATAAACTCACACACACGTACAAGCAAACAGCTTCTGCTGATTACTACAACACACATTAAAAGGGATACTATTGATTTTGGTTAAAAGCACAACACCAGTAAATGTAAGGAAGCTTCAAAGTACAACTATTACTCTTTTGTTGGTTCTTCTTCACCTTTTAACTCTCCTTGAAAGGATGCCTGACTTTAATCAACCACACATTTTTGTTCTGCCTTCAGCTTTTATCTTAAACTCTCGGCTTTCAGGCGCATATAATTCATCAGACTCTTAAAAACAGATAAGAGGAGCTGCTGTTGTTGCTGATTTATCAGTCAGGTTATGCAAGCGACGTAGTAAAAACATTTTGCCTATGCCGTTATCACATTTAGCAGATTTGTTGACTGTAATTTTTTTTTTTTAAATCTTCTTCAGTCCAAGAAGCCGTTTAGCATTCTTCATGGTTTCTCAGCAGGGACATTACCGAGTGCTTTATCAGAATACTTCTTGTACTTTCTCTTAAAAGCATTCTTTCACAAGAGTGAATCTAAGGTAGAACAGGTTTTCAAAGCAGCACTACTCAACATCTCAAAGAGAAGAGAAGTTGTGAA